TTCCAAAGAAATGTACGTACACACCGTAGGAGGTTCATGGACTCTCCAACCCAGTTATGGGCCCTTAACTCTAGACAGCAAGGAACAGCTTCCTCAGTGAGCTCCCACATCTTCCACTGCCCTGACCTGACCGGTCCGACAGGTTTCCTTTGATGGCGCATCAGCCCCACCTAGCAGACATTCTTGGTGTTCACCACCACCAGGATCACAGCAACAAGGATCAGAGCCTCCGCGCGGCCACCATGCCTTTATTTAGCTATAGCGACCTCCATGCCTGCCCTATACAAGCACTTTGCAGGTATGAACATGAAGACCTGGATACTGACACAGAGAGTACAGGAGGAGAAGACACCTGCCATGCCACAAGGAAGAGAGTGGCAACTGCCCCAAGGGAGAGCTGTGGCAACACAGATTAGAATCTGCTGGCAGCGCTGCTCCGGAGGGGCCTTATGAGAAAGGTGGGGGCACGTGGTGATGACAGGAGGGGCACAGGATGAGGAAAAAGGTCCTCTGGCAAAGGCACTATATTTGGTAGGCGATGACAGACCACTGAAGATGTCTTCAGCATGAGAGTGACAGTGTGAGCAGGATGCTGCACAGCGACTGGTGGACAGGCTCACAGCTGAGCCTGTCACCTGAGAAGAGCTAACCATGTGGCCCCATCACCCTGCTCAAGCTGACTGTGACCTGTCAGAGTGGCATATGATGGGGGCAGCAGCTGTCTGCTACTAGGCACCAGCCTGTTCAAAGGTCTGGAGAGTGAGCTCTGACCCACAGGGATGAGGGTCACTGACCACACCAATCAGGCCTTAATTATAGTGAGACTGAATGAGAGCAACAAAGAGTGAGGACAGAAGCTGACGGACCCTGGAGAAGAAGGCTCAACGCAAAAGCCAGAAGGTTCAGAGCACCAGAAAGCAGAGGTGAGGGGGCAGCAGAGTGCCACGAGATACCATGGGGAGCTGGCCAGAAGCACCGCTGGTAGCCTGTGGCCTACTGCAAGCTGTTCGGCTGCCTAGAGGCCCAAGCGGACAATGACTGAGATGACTCTCTGCTCTGATGCCCACGTATCGTCCTGATGAGCCTCCACCACACAAAGCAGCTTTGCCAGCCTGTGTGTGGAGCAGCCAACAGTGTTTTCTATGGACTGAATGTATGTGACACTCAAATTCTTATGTTGCAACCCTCCCCCTCCCCCCGTGCGATAGTATATGAGATGGGGGCTTTGGGAGGTAATTAGGGTTAGATGAGGTCATGAGAGTGGAGCCCCCTGAATGAGAGTAGAGGCCTCCTAAGAGTCACGAAAGAGCTTGTTCCCGCTCTTCTGTCTACCACATGAGGACACGATGAGAAGTCAGCAGTCTGCAACTGGAAGGGGACCCTCACCAGAACCTGACCGTGCTGTCGCACTGATCTCAGACTTCCAGAGTCCAGAATAGTGAGAAGAAAATTTCTGTTATTTTAAGCCACCCAGTCTGTGATGCTTTTGTTGTAGCCTGAGCTGACCAAGACAGTGTTGTACAGAGTTCTCCTCAAATGAGGTCAGAAAAGGATGGGCTACATAGACTCAGTGTCGTCACTGCGTGGACCTTGGGGCTCCCCCGGCTATGTGGGGGCAGACGTGGCATGCACCATCTCTTCACCTTCCTGGACCACATGGGAGAAGAGGCGGGTTTGGAAAAGACAGGACGTGACGTGAATTCTATTGCTGCCTGAAGAAGGCAGGCTGTCTGGCACAGGGCGAGCTGGGATGACAGGGAAGAATCAAAAGTGACAAATGAATAGAAGTGCCAGGCGAGACAGGATGACCCAAAATGGCTTCAGGTTTCAAAGCAAAATGGGTGCAGGTCTGCCAGCCGCTCAGCACAGGCAAACAAAGTCAGGGAGGCAGGTGTGTGTCGAAGCACCCTCGGTGTTGGCTGAGGAGGGCAGAACCTTGAGGTGGCAAGAGAAACGTGGTAAAAGGCCTGCGTGAGGTGTGACATAAGGAGTCCGGACCATAAAGCACCCGGCATGCACAGACGTGAGTCTCAGCAGCTCCAGAAGCACGTGCTCAGGCTCACGGGCCTGAGAAGACTGGGGAAAGAGGCAAAGGGACAGCGATGATGGTGCGGAAAGCGGCACCAGAGGCAAATGAAGAACGCCTCCCCGTGGGGGCGGATTCCCTTTCCAGCTTCACCGCAGGTGGCAAGTGATGGTCAGGGTCAGAGGGAGTCCATCTGTTCAGAAAGGGACCGCTGCTGGTGGAGGTGACAGAAGACAAGAAAATGGTTTCCAAAGTACAATCAGATACATAGTACAGCTGAAAATATATCAAGGTGACAGTATGTTTCAGTGAGAAAAACACCATGAAGAGGTTGATCACCCACATGCTATATTCTAACACATTACATTAAAAAAAAACAAAACCCTGCCTTTCAAGGTAGGGCAAAAGACTTCCCGCTTTCTTTGAGGTGTAATTAGGCATATTTGTTGATAGATAAACACAGAAGTGTTGGTTTGATCTCGGAGCAAAAGTGAGGCAAATGCTTCCATGAAACAGAAAAGTTTTAATATTTAAAGCAGATTTTGAGGAAGCAAATGTGCTTTCATCTCTCGGGAAGAGGTGGTATAAACGTTTTGTTTCAAAAATGACATTGTCAGGAGCAAGCATTTGTGAAATAATTGAAAACAATTACACTTGTTTTTTATCCAGTCCTATTAAGGCCTGTTTGCCTTTGAAGCAGACATAATAGTTACCTTTCCAGAAATGTGGTGGGGAACACAGGCAGGAGGATGCATGACATTTTACAACCTGGACCAGGTCCCAAGTCTTATATTTCTATCAACAAGTACCAAGGAAACATTTTAGGCTACTCCTAAGGCTTAAAAAAAAAACACGCATCATGGTATCATCGGTATGGCAGGATAGGGCTGTTGGAGAAGGTCCTTGGCACTTTTCAGCCTTGTTACTTATTTCCCATCACCTATCACAGCTACAATTTTAGAACCTTAAGGAATTTTGAAGGTTGCCTAGCCCAGTGATTTTTATATTATTATTATTATTTTAAGCAGTAAGCCATTTAACCAAAAGCAGAGATTCAGGATATAAACCTGGACTGGCCGTGCAATTGCTCTGGCTGGGACTGCAGTAGAGAGTTCCAGAGCCACATCTCAGATGCCTCACAGGAAACCCGGGGGGCCCTGGGAATATAGCGACAAAGGTACCAGGGCCCAGGACTAGGCTGATTCACACAGCTAGAAAAAAGCTCTTTCTTTTTTTTTCCCTGCTCTGCATGGCCCACCCTCCTGCAGACCCTGCGTGAGGGTTCCCTGAGACCTGCTGCTCCTGCCTGGCTCAGAAGAGCTACCTCGTTCATATAGCCGGATCGCTTCCAAGAGGTATGGCAATAGCAGGTAGTTCACAATAAACCCGGGCGTGTCCTGTTTTAGGAGAGAGAAAAATAAAAGACAAGTGAATTTTCACTGAACTTTATCTTTTGTGAAGTCACCAGATCGCCCCTTTTACTTGGATTATATTACCCGTGTTTATCAAACTATACATTTTCAAAAGTTGTTTTAAAGTAGCAGCACGCCCTTGAATGACAATGTATCCAACAATTACAGTACTTAAAAACAAACAAACAAACAAACCCAGATGCCCCTACTGTATGGATCCAGAAATAAAGGCAGATCAACAGAGGGAGGTAATTAGAAAGAGTACGGCTCTGGGAGCAGGCAGATCTGGGCTCAAATTCTAATACTCTGGCCTTGCGTTATCCTGAAACACAGTTTCATCATCTGTGAAATGGGAGTAATCATTTCTACCTGGCAAGCTGTAAAGATAAACGTCAGAAAACATGTAAAATGCTATGCACATTGCCACACACTCAAATGGTTGCCCTGTTATTCCTCTCCTCTCCCATATCCCTCTCAGGAATCTAGAAGAAGCAACACTTCATCCTGAACAACCCTCATGGGGCACTGCTTTCGGGTTCCTCAAAGTTGTTCCTGGGCCACTTGGGGTTTCTCTTGCTTTAGCGCATAGTGCAGAATGGCCGAACTGGGGACAGGTTCTGGGACAATCAAGCAGATGCCTTGAGAGACCGACTGCTGGCCTTTCACGTGTGCCTCCTAGGGCCCTCCACCCTGAATGGCTCCTTCTATCTGCCCCCACCTTCCGCCCCTTCCCACGCTTCCTCATCTCTCCTGGAGGCCTGGTGTGGGATGCAGAGTCATACTGATTTCTTTTGGGAGCTTGTGGGGCAGGCAGGGGTGGTAATGTTTTTGGTGGTGTTTAAGTCAAGCTGATTTCCATTAATAAATGGTGCCCCCACCTTTAATAAAAGGCTGTGATCTCCCTGCAGGCAGAATCCTCACCCTGGCCTTGGGTTCCCTTTCTAGGCTACACTAGGCACGCCATAAACATTGAATTAAAGGTGACTGGCCCCCGCACTACTCCTGTAACTAACTTGACTGCATGAGGTATATACTGGGCAGCAAAACCACAGGACTCATACTTTCTTTGAAACCACCCCCTATCCCTACCTCCCAGAATACAGACATGCACAAAAGAGCTTCATTAGTTTAACCAAGATTACATTCATGAAAATGATGTTGATTTTATAACCAGAGCAAAAATGCTTTTCAATTTCAAAAATTTTATTGCAGAAACTCAGGATAGGGTACCCAAATACATGGAGCACACCAGGGTTAGAATTCAGAATGCGGCCTGGGAAAAATATTTGCTCCACATGTAATATACAGAGTTTTTATATAGAGTTAACATTGTCTGCATAAAGAGCTCAGAGAGCTCAATAAAGAGAGAGTGCTAAAACTCATGAAATATTTAAACACAGTACTAATCAAAGAAATATTCATTAGAACAAAATATTTTGCCAATAATATTATTGGGAAAGGTTTTTTCCCCCATTAAAATATTCAATGCTGTTGATGCAGAGAAACAAATACTTTCATAATATTGGCAGAATGTAAAAAGACACCGTCCTTAAATAAAGCAATTTAATTTTATGTAATTATATACTTTATATTCCTCATACTTATTTATTAAATATATTTAATGTACTTACTACGTGTCTGATATTATTCTAAGTACTTTACAAATACGAATTCATTTATTCCTCATAATAACCCTGTGACACAAGTACTATTATTACCTCTATGTGAGATAGAGGACACTGAGGCACAGAGAGGCTAAGTAACTTGCCCAAGGTCACACAGCTGGTAAGTGCCCGAGCCGGGATTTGAACCCAGTAAGGCTGGCTCCAGAGTCCACGGCCTTAATTTTTCACACCGCGCTCTCCCTATGAAGTCTCACTATGAAGACAGACATAGTCCAGGCACATTAATGCCATTCTTCTATGTCAAGAGCTAGTAAACTACAATCTCATAGGCTGAATCCAGTCCCCAGTCTGATTTTGTAAGTAAAGTTTTACTGGCACATAGCCACTCTCATCTCTGCATGTGTTGTCTATGCTGTTTTCCAGATACAACAGCAGGATTAAGAGGCTGAAGCAGACGATGTACCCTAAAATATTCACTGCTGGCTCTTTACAGGAAAGCATTCGGACCCCTATTCTATGTGGTTACCTGATATTGTCTGAATGACTCACCAAGAGCCTGCATAACTGACCCAGAAAGACTCTCAGAAAGCCTTGAGGTCTCACCTAGGGAAAGTTCTGGACGCTGTAACAAGAACAATTTTATGAGACCAAAGGACTCCCATCCCTGCTACCCTGATGGAAGAATAGACCCTTACCCTAGATGAGTTAATGACTGTGCTGCTAAAGGTAATCACTGGCTCATCCCCATACTTCCATTTTTATATCTAGCTTCCGATTTACTACACACTGCTGTTCTCTCTAACATATTATTATCCTCTGCCTCTAACACAGCATAAACTGGTAAGAAAGGACAATTACAACATCTGGTTGTTAAATGTGATTTTTTAAAAATCCAGATGACTTAAAAGCCACGAAACAAAAAATGAGTGTTAAAAAATGAGACTCCTTAATACCACTATACTCCTGGGGCTATGGGGACTGTCATATATTAATCTGCTCTCTTTGACTACTGGGGTCCACATCGACAGATGGCTTATTCAGGTGATTCATGAATAATATGAGTCTTTATGGGTTAATACAATATTGTAAATTCAAATTTGAGAATCTTTTAGAAAGCAAAAGTATGCTATGAAAAGAACTGCAATGATATAAAAGATTATGGTAAAAAAAAAAGGTGACATTTATAAAAATTTGTAATGGGATTTTGTGATATAACTGCCCCTTTAGAAAAACTGCCAAGTCATGCAGAAATGTAGTCCCTAAATTTGGGGGGAACCAAGAGGAACTAAAGCAAATGAAAGGACTGAAGGTAATCAAAACAAATCAGGTGAGAGTAAGTGGGGTAATTTTACAACTAGTAACTTATCTTAAGGGACAGGGGCATGCTTACCACTCGACCACACTTCTTATTGAAAACAAAACACAAAACAAAACCACAATGCCACATCCCACTGAGAAACAGCCTCGTTGATGCCCCCTAGGGAAAGGCGGGCTCCTTTCTCACACAGCACCTCCTAACCCCGCGCAGTGCTCTTGCCAAGCGAAGCTCTGGTGTTCCCTTTGGGATGCATGTGTCCACCAGGCTGTGCCTGACACACAGGGTGGCTCTGGCTCCCTGGGGCGCAGCAGAAGCTAAAGCTGATGGGGTAACAAAATCTATTTATGAAAACACAGCCGCTTATCAACAGATAAAAAGCCAGACCCAGACGGAAGTTGCGAGTTTTCTAGTCTGCTGAAGCCTGGGGCCCCATCTGGATCTCAGACTATCTGTGACGGCCTTGGGCATGACCGGGAGTCTGGCTTCCCCGCTGGCGAACTAGAAAGAAGGTGCAGCCTGCTCTTCACAGCCCTCGGACAGGCATGCAGGACAAGCGCCCCACCTCTCCCATCATTCTACTATAAAAGGATTCTTTCTACCTGGAATTAGGGTCTAAGGAAAATCACCCCCTTCCTAAGCTACGCACACTCTACCTTGCAAGAAATAGGTTGCTTTCCCAGGGTTTTGCTGAAGTCCATCAGAGATTCAAATGTCTTCTGGCTGGTCATTGGTGTTTTAATGACCTGGAAATGCAAAGCAGAGAATTATGACCAGTAAAACCATTCAAGGAACACTGGCCCAAAGCATCTACAAAGGCAGCAAAAAAAGTTTTTGTTTCAGAAGAGGTAAGAATCTCAAGCCAGAAACACGACGTTTACCAAAATATCCGCTATAAGACAGTGGACTACTATAGAACGTAAAAAACCAGGGCTTAAAATATGTGTATGTATGTATAGAAGAGTTTTACAGGCTTTGTCGCTGAGACAGACCTGGGCTCGAATCTCAATTACACCACTTACTGGCCCTGTGACTCTGGGCATGTTTCGTGAAATCAAAATGACACTGAAATCACTCTACCTATCTCAAGGAGTGGAGGCGAGGATGCACGCACATGAGGAGGGAAAGCATGCAGTGCAGCCCCAGCAGGCATGAAGTTCTCAGTAAACGCTGGCTTTTGCTGGGGTTTTACTTGCTATTGTTAATAACTTCAGGGACGTAACTAGAAGTCTACTAGCGCAGGATGACTGCCCTTAAAGACTCTGCATGGAGTCCCACCTTCACTCAACACAGAGGAGAAGGAGCCTTGGAAAACGGAGTGATGTGGCCAAGTCACAGGTCTCTTGGCCTCCGAGACAAACGTCCCCATTATTCCACCCTCTTGTGCACAGATGCTCCAGAGCCCAGTGGCCCCCTTTGCTTCAGAAGAGGCTCATCGCTGAGGAAGGCACCTGCAGCCCTCTGGACCGCCGGCAAGATGCAGCACAAGGGCGCGACCGCAACCCACTTGGGTCTACAGGAGATGGCACGTGGCGCCACACATGGCGGTCAGCCTTCAGGCAACATTTAGAGAATTCCCTGTCAGAAATTAGATTTTGGCAAATAGAGATCTAGGTGAACTTAAACTTAAAAAAAATATATATATATATTTTATAATTTAAATCCAAGTTAAAGAACTTCAATGAGAGTCAAAGCAAACTGGCTAGACTTCTACATCAGACCCCTTCTATGAGCACAGGCAAGCCAAATCAACCTTCTGTGCCCACCTCTGTCCTATGAGATGGGATAATGATGCTTGACACGTCCTCCCTGTTGTACGAGCGCTGTGTGGCTTAATGAGCTAGTGTCTGCACAAGATGAAAGGTGCTATATAAATGGAGAGAATTATCATTTGTGTTTCATGTGATCACAGCCTGGGGTGTGGTGGTGTGTTAGAGTACGAAAATGAGTGGAAACAGAAAGAAGACGGGGATGAGGACTGGGAGGAAACGGGCCAGACACAGTTCTGCAGGCATCACAAATTGAAGAACCTGAGGTGTCAAAAGTCTCCATCAGAACTATACAGATGGAGCTAGGACAAAGGCTGCTAATTATGGAGTTTTAAAAATAATTTGTTGGTTTAAAGAAGTCAATGGCAAAGGTTTTTAACAAGAGGGCTGCATATTCATTCATTCAACAAGTAACATGCTAGATATTCTGCTTATAGTTCCAACGCAGAGTCTAAATATATATAAATATATATATATGTGCATATATATTTTTATATGTACATATACATATATATACACATACACACACACATACTTATATATCTTCAGTTCCAAGTAAAGAAGAGCCACTCACACATATGCAAGAGCTAAAGTTAAAGAATAATAACTGAATAGAGAAGAGCACTTTCAGAAAACATTTTCTGGACAATGCTAACATGTGCTAAGCATTAGCTGTGTTAACCGACGCGCTATACTTCCAAAGACACAGACGGACATTATCAGATGAATGCAGTCAAAAACAACATTGTTAGAGTTCGAAGTAAATCTATAAAATGTGTGCCTATCTCCATAACATATATGTACATGTTATACAGTAACTGAAGAAAATAATTAGTCCATAAGCACTGAAATGTTGAAAGTTCTATTCCACTCCTTCGCTCTTTCCTGCATAAAAGAGGATAAATGTGTTTTTTTCTATTCTCTGCACCCATCTTCTTCATTCAACTTCTTCAAAAACAGTCTTAGGGAAGAAGCTGAGGAGCAATGTTAGTAAGATTAAAAAAAAAGGTAGTTCGATAAATTCCTCTTGCAAGATGGGTCAGAGTTGTTACTTGACAGAAAACTACAGGAAAATATAGTCATCGTTAACCTAGAAGCTGATGCTCATGGCTCCTGCTCATGCTGGGGCGGGAGGATGAGGGGACAGAGGAGGGAAGGGGGCCTGGAGGAGAAGGCAGCCGTGGAGAAAGATCCTGAAACACTTCCCCAGGGAGGTCCGCCAGGCTCCGGCCCTGCTCCGTGTCCCCTACACTTCGCATGGCAACAACTCCTCAACCTCATAACAAATGCTACTTTAATAGCGGCTGTTCCTCAGACCCTGTAATTAGTTCCTGTAAAAGACAAGTTTCCACATTTCAGGTGCAAATTGTCTACTGTGACTCCATCTCCCTCGCCCCCAAGTCTCCAAGCAGTCGGAAGCAGCCCAAACAGGAAGGCAGCCCTCTTGGCCACTCCTCTCCATCTGTGGGTTTGTGGTCAGGAGGTTCAAGGCTATCAGGAGCCATCTGAATAGCTCCGATCACTACACCCAGGAGATGTACCTCATCTGGGGACAATACTGAGGCCCTGTTACACAGGGCCAAATTCACCCCAGGAACAGCAGGTGAGGTGGTCCAGTGGCTCCTGCGTAAAACCAGGCTGTCTAATAAGAATTCCATGTATAGCCTAGAGCAAAGTGACCTTGACAAGACAATCTGAACATGTGTTGCTCTCCCCTCTGAGTCTCATCAAGCCGGTGGTCTTTAGTGCTGCTGCGGCCTTCCCAGTCTGATGCCTCTCTCTGCACTGCCCATCAGCTATGGCACAAACAAGTAAATGACATTCTGCCATGTTAACAGCCTCTCTGGATATCACGAGTCAGAACACGGGGCTGCCAAGAAACAAAGCACGGGGGCCTTCCTAGATGTCAGGTGCTCTTTCTTCCCTTGGCTCTGAAAGGGTACCACAGAAAAAGCACAAGGACAACTTCCCCACCTCTCTCTCATTAAAACCCATCCGGTATAACCTCTGGTGGCAAGGTGGGTATGACACAGAGAAGCAGGACTGAGAGACGACAGAGCAAGTAGACACACACAGGTAGGAACCCACTGACCTCCACGAGCTTCATTACGGGCACTGGGTTGAAGAAATGGAGCCCAGCAAATCGGTCCTGTCTGGTGGTGGCATTGGCTAAGCTAGTGATCTGCAACGAGGAAGTGTTGCTGGCAAAGATTGTGTGTCTGTGGAGAGAAAGATGGCGGAATATCAGAATGAGTCCCATCTTCGGAAAGAGTCAGAACCACTCGGGTGCGAAGCACAAGGCAACTGCTTACTTCTCAGATCTGCCGTCCTGACTCCTGGGGGAAGTCAGAGAAAAGATACTTCTTCATGCAGAAGGCTGAAATCAAGTGACCTGGTTAGTTTACTTTTAAAATTTTATATTAAGTAATTTAAAAGTTATCTGTTCCAAAGGCGTACTTAATCTTTGCCAACCTTTCGCTAATTTTAGATAGCAAAATTTCTCCTGTCTACTTGTATTCATTTTCATGGTAGATGAAGAAAAAAAGGAGGCAGCTCCTTAACCAACCTCAGTCACAAAATGAAATTCTAAGTGATCAAAAACTAATGAAAGGATACATCACAGACATTCACATAAAAAACTGTAAAAAAACACCCGGATTCTCAACTAGAAACATCAGATAATAAACAAGAAATAAGATCTTTTCCCAAGTGTAAAGTGTTACTTCTCCATTGAATGGCAATTAAAATGAAAACAGAAGAAAACCACCATAGTTTAAAAGCCATCTCAAGGTTACATAGGTAGAACTGGAGATGGAAGAATAGATGTATATACAATAAATGCAGTTCAAGGTATTTTGCTCCAAAAAAAGCAGTACTATCTCCTTTGTGTGTATAAAATATTACCAGTTTAAAAAAATCCATACTGACTTAATCAAATTTAATTTTATAAGACCACAAAAAAATGGGGTTCAAAAGCATGACAGGCAAATCTTTAAACAGGCAAGAGTTCTAGGCTTTCCTATAGCGCCACCTTGTGGTTAAGTACACACAAAACTGCCTAATGCTAATTAGAACCACAAAGGCCTGGTCACAGTACAGGAAGGGGAGTGGTCCCTTACTGACCAGATTTGGGGGTTCCTGTGACCAAAAGCCAATACAACAATCTGCCTAAAATCGGGGTCTGGTGTGGGGAGGGGTGGAGGGGAACGGAGAATAAACAAGTAGTCTGAAAAGAGAAGAGTGGAGTAAAAGGAAGAGTCATGGTGGCCAAGAGCCTCTGGGGAGACCCTTCCCGTCCTTGGCTCAGAAGCGAGCTTCACTTTCAAGGCACTACAATACCCACCTTTCTCAAACAACTGCCAGGTCAGCCAATTTAAAAGCCAGAGCTTTTCCCTTCTTTAAAAAAATGACATTTTTTTAAGTTTTAAAATTCTAGTTTTCAAAGCTTCTTGCTTTTTAGTCAGTGAAGGAAATAATATAAACTACTGCTCATTACAGAAGGTAATGAGAAAAGGTCCACTGTAATAACAACGAGTGTGGCTGACACAAGTGTCGTTTAGCTGCACACCCTGAATCATGGCAGCAAGGCCACCCACGGCGGTGCTGGCTGGGGCTGTCACACTGGTAATATATACCTTTTTACAGGGTTTAAAGGGCACCCCATCTGCAAAAAAGGGAAACAAAGGTGCACCAAGCGCATTTCGTGGAAGGATGAAGTTACAGCGGAGCCCAGTCCCAGGGGTCCCCAACCTATGGCACCCCCAGCACACGTTTTACCAGAAGGAAATTCACATCTCCTCCCAGTGGACCTCTACGTCCCCTCTCCCAAACGGTGGCGCCGGCTCTGCTCCTACAGCGTCTCACACGCCTTCTTTCCACACAGCATGCCGACAGATTAAACACACAGGGTTGTCTTATCTTACACAAAAAGTGCACCTGCTCATTCTCCTTGGAACACTTGACTTTCGTGGACTGTCTTTTGTCTTTCTCTTTGTAATACTCAGGTACCAAAAAAACTACTTTTCTCTTAAATGTACTAACAGAAAAACCAACAGTGCAAACATAGTGGTCATTAGTAACGCCTTCAGCGTGCAGAAAACAGGGGCGGTGGGGGCTGTGGACTCAGCCCAGCTGACGAGGGCCTTAGCCAAGCTTTCCACCTGTACTTCTCACACCGCAGCAAGCGAAGTCACAATCTTTTCCAGGAAGCAACTACTGCATGATATTTTCATCCCCTGTTATAGGATCTAACTGTACAACATGCCAGCAGTAAAATATATATCAACAGAGCTGCTTAAAATGAAAAGAATGATGTAGAGAAGGATGGCTGATGGCCAGAAGCAGAGTCACATCTGTAGTATGCAACAGGTATCACTACCTCTATTTTACAGATTACTACGGAAACTAGTCTTAGAGAGTTGGAGCTAGGATGGTCTTGGAAATTATTTAAACCTCAGCCCTCCACTTGAATTGCAGATGATAAAACTGAGGGCCAGAAAGGCTTCACGATGGCCCACGGTCAGAGAGGAAAGTGGCAGGGGCTGGCCCCGGGCTCCCAGCCCCCCAACTTGCCCTACAGTCCTTCCATTACTTGATGCTAACACAGAGGGCAGTCAGAGTTGTCACTAGGGAATGGCCAACATTTCATTAAAGGCCAAACTGATTAACTACACTCCCTTTCCTGGGGCAGGTGTTTGGTTATCCTAGAGGGCTCCATGCTAACTTGGGAGGTAACACCCCAAGAAGGTCTCTGGTTTCTGTCTGATGTTTCTGCAGCCCCTAAATGCCAGTATACAGAGCATGATCATGTAGATCAGCACAGTGATGGATAGGTAACGGAAAAGCAGGGCTCTTTTCTTTCTCAGGGGCAGGGCCTCTCCAGGCAGCCATCAGGCCACATAACTCTAAGGGTCGTCATTCCAGAAGGCTTGTACGTGAGGGTCTTAATTTAGCCACTGCTCACTGGTGGCTGCCTATGAATTACTTTTGTCATATAATCTTATTTTGACTTTTTGTTCCAATCAAGAAGGGTAAAGTGTGGCCAAGACACAAGGAGAGCATGAGTGAATCAGTCAGGAGTCACAACTGCCAAAAGTCAAGAAAGATAGAAGGCTCCAGATTCTGAGAACTCGAGCTGCGTTGTGTGAACAAGCTTGCTGACACTGCCGAGTCCTGAGGCCCAGGTAGTCGTATCCCTGACCTACCTGGGGCTGGCTCTCCTCTCCCATCCTTTGCCAGGAAGCCTCGTAAAAACTCAACCGTCCTTTAATGATCCCAAGGCTGTTTTGAATTAACCCAGATAAAGCTCAAAACAGGAGAGTCCTGGGGAACTCTGTGTAGACAGAAAGGCCTCCCTTTCTCTTATACCTTTCCATTTGTTCCACTCAAATGAGGGGAACACGTGAAACTGCTCTGAGGCTCCTCAGCAGACACTGAAGGACATGCACAAGCCTCCTCCATCTGCTGCCCTGGGAGGGCCCATGACCTCTGTCTTTGCAAGAGAGAGGCCTGTCCCTGGACAGACACTCAATTTACCGTGGGAAATTCCGCCCTCGTTTGGGGACCAGGATCAGACCAGAGTAGCCCAAGCATCCGGAAGCAAACTGGGAGTAGGAAGATGGTAAACAAGGGAAATAGCTGTGGGCTGTAGAAGAAGGAAGCTTAGTGTCAAAAGACACTTTCCTTGAACAAAGCTTGAGCTGGAGCAAAGCCCTCAGACCCAGCAAAAATGTCAGGGGCCACGTACTCGGCAGCAAACTTGTCCAGCCTCTTGAAGAGCTCATTCTTCGCCTCCAGTTTCTCCACGATGGCCTCCACCACCAGGTCCATGCTGTGGACCACAGACGCTGCGTCTGTGCTGGTCGATATGCTGCTCAGGGTCTTCGCCATGAATTCATCACCAGCCTATTGCAGAAGAAGGAAAGGAACATTCCCTGAGCTTATCGGAAAATAGTGTTTAATTTGCTGCTAAGGCGGAAGGAGAGAGGAGAGTAAGAAGAGGCCTATACATCCCAGATGCATCTTGAATGTGCCGGAAATTCTGAGAAATTAAACTCCCTATGTTTCTGCTTAGGGACAGCAGCATCTCCACGTACATTAGACACCATGGCAAGAATCGGCCTGTGAACAAACCCAACTGTTGGTCGACTATCACTGTAGTGTATAGCAGCAGTCCCTAACCTTTTTGGCACCAGGAATCGGTGCTCCTATGAGAATCTAATGCCTGATGATCTGAGGTGGAGCTGAGGCGGTGATGCTAGCGCTGGGGAGCGGCTGCAAATATAGATGAAGCTTCGCTCTCTCACCTGCTGCTCACTTCCTGCTGTGCGGCCTGAATCCTAACGGTCCATGGTCAGGGGGTTGGGGACCCCTAGTGTACAGGATGTAATCTTCCAAGATCTTAGACAGCTCTCCTCCAGTTACTAAACTGTCTGTTCACAGCACCTGGCACCTGTATTGGCCCGTTGTATTTGTGTCCAGAGTAATAGACTACCATGGTCTGTTCCACAGAGCCTGTAATTTATCCTTCCAGAAAAGGGTGAAAGCTTAGCTCAGCATCATCCATTAGACAGGGAGATGATGCTGACTATTCCTCTCTCACAGGAGGTAGGTAAGAGCTGAGTAAGGGCAAAAGAGAGGGTAAGAAAGCCAAACTTAAGAGTCATTCATCAAATATTAATTGCCCATCACGTGCCAGCAACTGGTGTTTCAAAAACATGCCAGACACAGCCTCTACTCTCAAAGAGCTTACGGTCCCACCTCTTCCTCATTTGTGACTCCAGGTCTCTACAAAGAGACTTCGGGGCAGAGAAAGTCAGTGCCTCTATCAACTTTCATTTGATTTCAAGATGTAATTTCCCATTGGGCATCAAAAGTATCCCAAATCATCATGGAATAGACAACTATCAGAGCTGTTCAACAGAAATGTAATAGGAAATGACAGATGATTTTTAAATTTCTACTGGCTGCATTTTAAAAAAGAAAAAAAAAAGATTAAACATTTTATTGAACCCAATATATCTAATACATTATCATTTCAAGATATAATCAGTATTTTAAAATTTTGTTTTATATATTTTTTTCCTATGGAGTGTTTGAAATCTGGTGTCTATTTAACACTTGCAGCATAACTCGACTGGACTAGCCACATTTCAAGTGCTCAACAGCCACTTGTCGCTAGAGCTGCTGCACTGGTCAGCACAGAGCTAAGTAAAGACAGTATGTCGACCAGGCAGGTTGAAGCTGACAGGTCCCTCCTCAGAGCATTGTCCCTGGCAGAGATGAGAAACACCAGGAGACCAGACTCTGAGGAGTGACTCCTCAGGAGCCGAGCCACTTGAGCACAGAGGCGTCTAGTCACTCTGATGCAGGGGCTGGTCTCTGCCCACAGGGGATGATCTGCAGAAGTATGCAGAGTAAACAAGTGAAAACTGCAGGTCACCTGAGTTCAGACTCACTCGGAAAACAACCTCCACCTGTCCCTCTGACTTGTAAAAGGTGACTAGACATTAAGAAAATGCAAACCAAAAACATGAGATACCACTTTCATACCTCCTTAATACCTATTATGAAAAAAAGTGGAAAGTAACAAGCGTTGGCCAGGATGCAGAGAATCTGGAAGCTCCATGCATTGCTGGTGGGAATGTAAAATGGTACAGCCCCTTTACTATGGGAAACAGTTTAGTGGTTCCTCAAAAAAATCTAAACACAGGATTGCCATATGACCCAGCAATGCCACGTACAATTATGTAACTGCAAGGACTGAAAGAGGGACCTAAACAGATAGTATACTAATGTTCATCGCAGCGTCATTCACGACAGCCAAAGGTGAAAACAACTCAAGTGTCCATCGATAGACGACTGGATAAACAAAGTGTGGCATATGCACACAATGCAATATCATTACTTATAAAATGGAGAGAAGTTCACGGACGTACCTTGAAGAATTATGTCCAATGGAATAATAAATCAGTCAAAAAAAAGAAAAATATTGTATGATTTCACTTACATTAGGTCCCTAGAGTAGACAAATTCAGAGAGACAGAAAGATTAGAGGTTAACAGGGACTGTGGGAGAGAGAACGGAGAGTTGCTGCTTAACGGACACAGTTGTTTGGGAAGATGAAAAGGTTTCGGAAACAGCAGTGATGGTTGCACAACAGTGTGAATGTAATTAAAGTCACTGAGTTATACACTTATAAATAGTGAAAATGGCAAATTTTATGTTATGTTTTACGACAATAAAAAAATTTTAAAAGGTAACTAAACACACCCCTGTGGATTCCTCAGGTGAAAAACAACAACAAAAACCCTAGTTGCACTCTTCTCTGCCTATATATGGAGAGAAATTCCATTCAAGCCCAAGGAATTCAATCTTAACTGACTTTAACAAGGTGACAAAGGTAAACAAAAATTCACTGGGGTGACTTTTGCAGTATTTCTAATTATTCGCGAAGGACCAATGAAAAAAAAGTCAGTAAACCAGAGTTCTCAACCTTCTAGGGGTTCGAGTTCTTGTATCTCTTCTGCTGCTGGAAACTGCAAATAAATTCACTCTATTTTCCTCTCTAGTAAGCACATCAATAATAGGAGTAAGATATTACCTAAGCAATCAAAAGTTTCTACCTAAATCCATCGTTTGTTATACCATTCTCTTTCTAACTTGCAAGTATGAAATCTATCTTCCTATTTCTTCCTCTTCCATCCTTATAACAAAATAGGTGTCATTCAATCTCAACTCTCAGTGGACAGAATGAGTTCACTATCCACAGAAACTCTCTCAATCTCAAATCCTATGCAACGAGATGGTTATTTTCTTCTCTTGTTTTCTAATCAGTCCCTCTTATATGTGTAGTGGTTATATTATATTGGTCTACAGTTATGGGGAAATGAGTTTTACATAAATCAAAGAAGAAAAGGCCAGTGCCTCCCTAGCCACACTAATAACAAGAAATTACCTTCAGGTCCTCCGCAAACTTCTTCTTAGCCACTCTCCTAAGGCTTTCCTCAATTGCCTTTTTGGATTTTGCCAGGATGTTCTCTGTCTGGTCCACCAACACTACTGTGTGGCCCGTTGCTGCAGCGACCTAAAGCAAAATAAGAATAATTTTTTCTTTAGAAAAGAAGGAAATATTAAAGTTAAAAAAAGTAAAGTTTCACATTCCACATGAACTCTACCACCATTTCAAAACACTAAGTAAACATAACAAGCTGACATTAACTGAATACACAGTTTTTGTTAAAAACACAGCTCTCATTAGCCACTGTTCTACACTCGCTACATGGATGACAAAGTCTCAAAACCTGGGATCTGAATCAAGGTTCTGAAGTCCATACTGTAACTACCTCCCATACTGTGCTGTACAACATGAGAGCCCCTGTAGAACCACTGCTTTGGCGCTTGTGCGGCTCAAGGGTGTGGAGGAGACGGGCAGGTCAGCTAGGATAAACCTACCTGGAGATGACAGTAAAAAGTACAGATGACCCTTGAACAACACAGGCTGAACTTTGCAGGTCCACTTATATTGGATTTTTTCAATGTATTTTCTCTTCCTTATGATTTTCTTAATAATATTTTCTTTTCTCTAGCTTATTGTAAGACTAGAGCATATAATATATGTAACGAAATATGTGTTAATCAACTGCATATGTTACTGGTAAGGCTTCCCAGTAAGGCTTCAACAGTAAGCTATTAGTAGTTAAGTTTTTTGGGCGGGTCAAAAGGTATATGTGGATTTTTCTACTGTCCCAGGGGCCAGCGCCCCTAACCCCCACATTGTTCAAAGGTCAACTGTAGTTCTAAACCAGTCATGATGTGAGATTTCTGAAACTAGGCAACTAAAACTCAAAGCAGAAAACCAAAGAGAAAAAGAAACAAACAGAAAAGCAAAACTCAAAACCAAAAAGGTTCAAATCCCAAAGACAGATTTCCAAAGAATACTTTTAAAAATGGGAAGACAGGTTTTAAATGGAAGTTAATTACAATTGACCTGCGGTTGGTTGAATCCATGAATATGCAACCAGCAGATGTGCAGATGTGCAGGGTGGACTGTACAGGCTGGGTCCTGTGAGCCCTTCTAGTAAATCACCAAACCTGGGGAGGAGGGGGGAAGTAGGTAGGGAATGCTGATGCAGAAACTGAGAAAATAAATCTCCAATTCCAGATGGAGCTGGTGAGGAAATCAAACTGCTTTGAGACAACAGCTGAAGGGAGGTGTGGTGACCACTGTCAGGCAGATCTTCTGCAAGGCCGGGGCAAGCAGGGGACCTCCTCGGGGACCTCCCACTTTTGGCTTAGGGCCCTCCCACTTTTGTTTTTGGCTCCTGTGTTTGACAGAACCCCTGAAATTATACAAGTGATTTTCGCTTTGTTCCTTTCACTCCTGACCTACATCCTTTGACTAGGCCAGACACAATTCCTCACATTCCTACTTGTCTAGGTCCCAACCCGCTTTTCCCCCACTTCACCTCCAGCAGGCATCACTTAGGCTTTTTGCTCGAGGTGTTGGGGGAGGGGAGGAAATTCAAGTACATCTGGTACATGATGGAGCCAAAGCTGAAGGGAACAGAGACCAAAAAAAAAAAAGGGCAGGGGGTGAAATGAGGGCAGTGTCCTTTTACTTAGGGACTTTAATATCATTTAGAAAATACGAAAGCAAACAACATAAGGTTCCACATGTGGGATGTCAACTAAAATAAAAACCACCATAGTGAGGAATCTGATTTTAAAAGGCTGGACAAGAGGCGTATACCTAGAATGGGCCAGCTTCCCAAGGAATAAACTTAAAGGGGGCGGGGGGAGGGGGACACCAAGGGAAGTGGGACAAGCAAGGGAGGGGACATGCACCTTTTTTCTAGAAAGCCACTTTCAAAATTACTATAACCATATTTGATTGTAATAGTCAACAGAGTATTTTTTTTTATTGCAGAGAAGCCATGATGCTATCTTTATAATTACTGTTTTTAAAACTAAGAACCAAACCTAGAGAAAGAACCCTCAAATAGTCAAGTAAATCAAGAGACACATATATTATAAAAACACTAACATTCAACCAGGAAAAACCATGGCCAAAAAGCATTTTCAGATTAAATGCTGACTTTCCCCTTCTATCCAAAGTTCTCCAATAAAGGCCCCTCACCTCCTCGCAAGAAGACACTGTGTCATTCAGTCACTATCAGGCTTTATCCAGGGTCTGAATGAGCACACAAGAGACAACACATATATGTACACCCCGGCTAAAAAACAACTATTAATTCAAGGCTCCCCACTCCAGGCAACATTCAAGAGAGCGAAGTGCACATGTCAGATGACCATATCAAAATGACAGATTTGTAAAATGTTTATTTCCCCATCTCAACCAGAAGACACAGGAGGTGTAAGCAGTGGCCAAACCTAACACAGAAGAAGGCGACACCTTTTTCTTTCCCAGTGGGTCAGCGGTCATTTTTTTTAACTTCCCTTAGCCACACAGTGCCTCACTGGTCTAAAAGAAGCTGCTGTGTGAGAACTTAGCTCAATTTTTCTCCCTATCTCAAATGAAGGAGCATATTCTACAATTCTGGACTCTCCAAAATGTTTAAACTGGTATTTCTGGTCGAGTGAAAGGCAACAATTGCATGCTCTAAATGGTTATCCCTGGCAGATAATTATTTTTTTGTAAATACTTTCTACTTCAGCTTTTCTTTGCTTGGTTAGCTCACAAAGCTTCAAGAAAATACAAAGGAAATCTTATGGTATTGTCAATCCAAGACATAGAGAAAGAAGGCATTCCTATTTCAACCCAAAGTGGATATGGTTGGTTTTTTTTTTCAACCCAAAGTGGATATGGTTGGTGTGAACGGAGAAAATACAGGCAAAAAAGAGAAATTTTAACTCCTTGAAACATTTTCCATTTTATGATGAAACTCTACAGTGCAGGCCAAAATTTATTGTGTAGCAATAAACTAACATTATAGCATAATTCCAAGTGATTTCAAGTTATAGGAGCATTTTCATTCCACCCACCTGCTCAAGTTCCTTGCAATCATTTCTTGTAGGCACACCCAAGGGACATAACATCCTCAGGGTAACTTCGTGTCCTAGTCCCAGTCATCCTTGCAAACCCCAGTGCCTGGCCCACTGTGAGCACAATGAATCAATGAATGAACGAACCACATCTAGCCCACTGCCTGGTATGTATTAATTGCTTAATAAAATATCCATAGGCTTGTAGGTCCAATGTTCTCTGATTCTATTCATCTACTCCAAAAGGGCTTGGTTTTCCTCTCTGACTGGTATGTCTAAATAGCCTACCACAGAGGTGGATTCAGGATGCAGGCAATCCGTCCCTTCCCTCCTTGCACTCTATGTCAGACCTGACAGCTGCATGACTCTCATCCCCGACTGGCTCAACAAGCTGAGGCAGCTTTAAGCATGGCTAAGCAGCCAGCCACAGGCCACTTAAAAGCCAGCTCATTTCTTTCTGAATTACTAACACACTTGTCTTATTTCTTTTACGAGACAGATCCCCAAGAACTGGGGGAGCTTATAGAACTAACAGTCTCTATCTACCCTCAATTAACAGAAAGAACATAAGCCTTTAAGATGAAAAAATCCAAATGCAACAAAAATAAGAGGTGCCATGTACTGAGCATCTACTGTGTGCTGGGCACATACTTGGTATATTCCAAGACTATTTCTGATCAATCCAACAACCCTGTTGAAGAAGGCATTACCCGCTTTTTGGAAACTTCTGTCCTTAAATCAGTGGGGTCCAATGGCTTCCTGCTGCTCTCTGTCCATGAGACAATTCTAGACATTAACCAGAAGACACTATCTGGAAGAGTCCTCTCCGCTTAACTCTCCCCAAAATCCCCAAGGAAAGGTCAGGCCTGGTCAGGCTGCCTTTCTGCCTGGGACTCTTTAGCATCAGGGTCTTGTTACAACTCTCCTAAACAGAACTTGCTTCTCCATTCCTTTCTCGAAGGCTGGGCCCTGCACTTGTTTTCCCAGTTATGTTCCAAGCCTTTCACTTGAAATGGCTCTCTTCTAGCCTTGATCTCTGGCCATATTTGCATCTACCTTACCGTGTACTGAGCTTTGATTGTCAGCGACTGGCGACTGGCTCACACCTACCACCCTGAAGCTAGCAACGCCCTGTCCTCCTTTTCCACAGGCCACAATACTAAGCAAAATCCTGAGACTCTGAGAGAAGAAATCCGTTAAACAGTCCATGGAGGTTTGCCACCGCTAGTAACAGCTACAGTTTAGAGTACAGACACCAGGCCTATCATATCTCATTTAGTTTTATTTATTAACCAAATCTCCAAGTGCCAAATGCCAATTTTAAATTTTAACAGTTCTGTAGCTTGTGCTCTTGAAGATGAAATCATTGTAACAGTAAAACCTGCAATAGATAAGCATATATTATTTTTGACATTGGAACAGGAAAATTCAATACATAGTTTCCACTATGCCTAGAGCTAATTATTCATCTAAAGACAGGATCCACATAATACACACATCCACAGTGTGAAGACTGCCAACCACTGTGAGGCTTAGCTCTTTGGCATCCACAGCGCTTACAACAGCATTAAGTGCCAGTAACTGCTCCATTATCCCACCATTTTCTCTCTTCAACCTATAGTGAAATGTCCTTGGAGGAGGCACTGTGGCTTTACTTGGCACAAGTGATACTCTGAACATAAATGTACATACTGGCATTGATGTCTCAGATCTCGCTAGTGATTAAAAAAAAAAATTCATATCATCTGGAATATGCTTAAAATTTTAGAATCATCAATGAAAGGGAAACACAATTTTAAAACTTAAATTCTTGAAAAGACCCTAGTTTGAAAAATAATGACCTCATCTAACTTTTATGGTAACTATAAGATCAAATATTAAGAAAGTATGTATACTGTTACAGAATCGAAAACACTTAAACTGAAACACGGTGTTTAACACCTGGTTCAAGATTCCCCTTTCAGTCCCACATAACAACACCCTGGTTTAGGGGCTCATTACTCTCATCAGCAATAGCCTCCCAACTTAGTTTTGTGCTCCTCTCTCCCAACCCTTAACAGATGTTTCTTTCAGCTTCTTAAA